GAGTCCGGGAGAAGCTTTTCTCGCCCCGGGATTCCAGTGGATGAGAAGTTGGATACAAGTCACCAGTGCGCCCTTGTAGCCAAGAAGGCTAATGGCATATTAGGGTGCATTAGGAGGAGCGTTGCCAGCAGATCAGAGAAGTGATTATTCCCCTTTATTCAACTCTGGTGAGGTCACATCAGGAGTATTGTCCAGTTCTGGGCCCCCCACTGCAGAAAAGATGTTGGACGCACAGGATAGAGTCTAGCATGGGGCAACGAAAATGCTTAGGGGGCTCAGGCGCGCGATTTATGAGGACAGGCTGTGGGGTTTGGGCTTACTTAATCTGCAGAAGAGAAGAGTTAGGGGGGATTTCATAGCAGCCTTGAACTAGAGGCTGTGCTGGGTGGGGGGAGGTGGCAGAACAAGGAGCAATGGGCTCAAGATACAGTGGGGGAGGTCTAGGTTGGCTATTAGGGCTGTTTCCCTAGGCGGGTGGGAAGCGCTGGGATGGGTTCCCTAGGGAGGTGGTGGAATCTCCATCCCTAGAGGTTTTTAAGTCCCGGCTTGATGCAGCCCTGGCTGTGATGATTGAGGTGGGGTTGGTCCTGCTTCGGGCGGGGGGCTGGACTTGCTGCCTCCTGAGGTCTCTTCCAGCCCTGGGGTTCTGAGATTCTAAACTACATTAAACATTTTCCTAATGTTACTTTTCCACGGTAGCAATTGAGCTGGCTGCCACCAGGATGTTATGGGCACCGATGGGATGGGACGTTGTGGCTGGGTGATGGAGAATGGGAGGGGAGGTGACTATAGAGCTGTGCTGTTCTCTGGGATAACTCGAGAACCCCTCGATGTAGTGGGTCTTCCCTAATATCAAGAGCTAGAAGATTTACTCTGATCCTTAACTCAGGTTTTGGTTTTGGAAAATAAAGTGAAACTGTCCAGGCTTCATTTGCTCTTTGCTCATGGGCGGGGCTGGGGTTAGGGTTTGCAGGCTGCCCTGGGCAGAGAGGCTCTCTGTCTCCGTAGCAGTTGGGAGCCAGGTGAGTTGTGCCTCTCCATGACTGCTGCAGCTCCAGCCGGCACAGCGAGGAGCAGGTCCAGGTTCATCTGCCCCTGCGCTCCCCACCCAGAGTGAGGAATGCAGCAAACTGGGCACTTTCCCTTCATTAGTGAGTGAGGGGAGAACAGCCAGCAATATCTCCGTATGAACGGAAGGGGAAGCTTCAGTCCCTGCCTAAAAGGCACCTGGGCAGTGAAAGGTTCAGGGCTGCGGGGGAGGGGAGAGCGCCACACCCCTAGCCAGCCCCTTTCACCTGCCTGATGATTGTCTCTTCTTTTATATGGTGTCCCGAGAAGCAGTCCCATTGAGGGCACATCCTGTTGTCCTGGCACAGGCAAACCCGTATCTTGCTTTAGACAGACAGACAAGCTCTCTCAAATATCTAGTAGATTTGTTTAATAGAGACACCTTAACCCTGCATTTTGAACACTGACTCCCTTGTCCAAGTTAATAGACTACAGCTTATCCTGCCTACATGGCCAGAAGCCCCATTTGACGTGAAAACAAAAATAACTTGGTTTGGAGCGTTAATTTGATTCAGAGTTATTAAGGGATAACACCAAATAAGACGTTTTATCTCACGGGTTTTCTGGTCATCTGAGCCATTCGGGTGGTGTCTAAGATTTTGTCCTTGAAGGAGAACAGAAATATTTCGGGGGAGAGGTTAGGGTTAGGGTTAGGGTTAGGGTTAGGGTTAGGGTTGCCATAAATCTTTTTTGTCTCCTAGATCCGGCCTCACATTGCCACTCTGCGCAAGTACACCTATGGCAAGCACATTTTGGCCAAGCTGGAGAAATATTACATGAAAAACGGGGTTGACTTAGGGCCAATTTGTGGACCACCAAATGGTATCATTTGAGACAATGAATTGCAGATAAACTCACTGGCCATCAGGCATTTAAAACCAGCAACCGACAATATTCCAATATACAGTTACAAAATATTTTATGGTTGCTCAACTACTAAAAATACAAACAAAAATAAGCCTTTGTAAATTTCTTTAATTTTATTATGCATAACATGTACTAATTATTTTTTTTAATTAACTAATTGCCCTGCTGTTTTACTGGTGTATAGAATACTTGTACATAGGTATCAAATGTACATGGGAGGCCACATTTTTGTTCACTGTTGTATCTATATTCCAAATGTGGAATCTTTCAGGGTGGTTGGTTTGAAGAAAAAAAAATGTTTTTAATTCATCCGCCTCACAGGTGACTTTTTTGCAAATACCTGTTTTTCTCCTTTTATTCAAAACTCAGCAAGAAGTTTGAATTTTAGTTAAATGGCACAAAACCCACATTTAACTCTGTTTATAAATATTAAAAAAAATTCAACTTGCTAAAGCTTCAGTTTAAAAAAAGAAAAGTTTTTGAAACTTTTTAATTGCTTTTTCTGTTTTATTTTTGGAATATTACATGCTAAAGAAGGTAGCTTAGCAGTTTTGAAGAAAAACATATGCACCCAGAAAGTTTTTTAAAGTAAGAAGGGGTGGGTGCATTTGTTTACTGCCTACTCAGTTTGTTATGTTAACACTGAAAGACAAAATTTGATTATTTAGCATGAGGAAAAAAAAATCCAACTCTGCTTTGGTCTTGCTTCTATAAATATATAGTGTATACTTGGTGTAGACTTTACATATATAAAAATTTGTAGTATTTTCTTGTTTTGATGTCTAATCTGTATCTATAATGTACCCTAGTAGTGGAACATACTTTTGATTGTACAATTGTACATTTGTAAACCTCTGTAATGTAAATGTGGAGAAGTTTGAATCAACATAAACCCGTTTTTGGTAAGAAAAAATTAGCAAAACCTGTGCATTTCAGTGTATATTCACACCTTTTATGGTCGTAGCATATAGTGTTGTATATTGTAAATTGTAATTTCAACCAGAAGTAAATTTTTTCTTTTGAAGGAAATGTTCTCTTTATACAGCCTAGTTAATGTTTAAAAAAAATGCTTGATTTTATTTGTCACCTAGTCAAAAAGTAGCGATCCTTTCTAAATGTTATACAGAATGATTCAGTTCAAAATAGTGTTTTTTTGAATCTTAAAGTAATGTTTTGCTTATTTTGTGACAGTAAAAAAAAGTGCAAAAGTACAGAATCCCCTAGTTTTCCTTACAATCAGAGTCCCTTTTCACCTTGTAAAGTGTGAATCACCTTCCCTTTTTGTACAGAAGATGAACTGTATTTTGCATTTTGTCTACTTGTAAGTGAATGTAACATACTGTCAATTTTCCTTGTTTGAATATAGAATTGTAACACTACACGGTGTACATTTACAGAGCCTTGTGTATATTTCCAATGAACTTTTTTGCAAGCACACTTGTAACCATATGTGTATAATTAACAAACCTGTGTATGCTTATGCCTGGGCGACTATTTTTTGTAACTCTTGTGTAGATTGTCTCTAAACAACGTGTGATCTTTATTTTGAAAAATACAGAACTTTGGAATCTGGTTTTGTGCTTTATTTGATCATTTTCAATATAGTGCCACCAGGACAAAATTTCCTACTGCCTTTGCCTCTTTCTTTCTGGTCTTAAGGAACTCTTTCAAAATAGTTCTTAAAGGCTGCTGCACTGTGAAAGGAACGCATCGCCTTACTGAGCTGAGCATTTGGTTTTAACGTGTGTTGGAATGAACAATATGATTAGCAAGATATTTCTTAGTTCCATGTGAAAATAATATTTTTGGTATGTATCGTGGTTTGCAGTTTTTAAAAGAACGTGGGAGATTTATACTCCTGCCAGTTTTTATGCATGTGCTTAACTTAACCATAAAAGTCTCATTAAATGCAAAGGGCCTTAAATTAGGCACATAACTCAATGTCTCCAGTGAAGTCTGAGGCCCAGATTCTCAAAGTTATTTAGGCTATTAAATTCCAGGAAGTTGAGTACCAAAAATACCTTCAGTGACTGCGTTTCCTTCTAATTCTGCCCCATGTTTTCACAAAACAGCATTTTCCAGTTTCGTTTTTTAGGTGTTAAAATAATACCCCATGGCTGTGTCCATCAACAGCAGGATACTCCACCCCCTTAGATCAAATAGCAAGTTTTCCACATTGTTCCCAGATGTTTGGGTTAGTCTCTCTGGGTGTGATAAGCACTAATGTCAGTGCAGTAAAGCTGCAGTTCATGACCGGTTTTGTTATGCTCATGTATTATCTCACAAAATGCAAAGCCTATTGTACCACTGTCACCAAGGTGTGGGGAGCCCCTGAGCCCTGCACCCCCATCTGCAGCCAGATGTGACACTCAGGCGGCAGGTAGAACTGAAGGTTTATTGGTTCACAGGAACACAGCGTAGAGCAGACTTGTTGTTCCAGGAGCTAGGAGCATTCGGTACAATCCATCTTGGGGAGAAGGGCCCTGGACCCTGTCTTCCCCTCCTGCTCTCTGCATCCTTCTCCTCAGCCAGTGGAGACTGACCCATCCCCCCAGCCTAGAGTCAGCCCCGCCTACTCCTTTGTATTCCTCTTCCCAGGCCAGAGGTGTTCTCTGCCGTCACCTGTTCTTCAGGACTTGAAAGGCTGCACTTACTTCCACAGTCAGTCATGTGCAGCCTTCCCCTTCTCATCTGGGTAGTGTTGCAGTGTCCAGGGAAACTGAGGCGCGCGCACACACACAGAATGACTACAGCACAGGACAGAAGACTCACCATGCACTGCCACAAAGCAGTGAATAGCGTGACTATAAGTGACTACAATCCCCCCACCTCACAACCACTTGGGGTCTTATTGTGTCATAATAGTACTTGACCGTCACTTTCCTGCAAAGAGCTGGGAATGCTTCACTCTGTTAATCAGCTCTTTGCAGCACTTCTCCGGGCGGGGGAGGGTTCTTGTCCTGGCACTGAGGCAGCATGAGAAGCAGGCCAAATATTTCCGTACTTTAAGCCGATTTTAGACATACTGGGCTGATAATTGATAGTGCTGAAGCCACTACCCTGGGGGAATGAAACGGGAGCTGGGATTCTGGCATCTGGAAATCTGCCCTCACGGGGGGGCGGGACCATGTCAGTGACCAATTTCATTTAGGGAAGCTGGGCCTTACCCCTGAAAATCGGGGCCTAACAAGCACTGGTAGCTCCCATTGACTTGAACTGAGCTTAGTATTTATGAACTGCCTTCCAAGTTGGGCACAACATTTGGACCTAAAATAGCTTGACCTTCCACCCGCAGAGCCTTCCTCAGGCAGAGGGCCAAGGAGCCCTGCTTCCTAATTCGAACCCTTCGCCGCCGCGTATCAAGAGTTAACTGAAAGGTGCTACTGTGGGGCAGTATCGTGAATATGTGAGCAAGTGGGACCAGAGCCGAGGGCTTCCAAATGGGCCATGCATGGCACTGTGCAGCTGGCCAGATGAACCAGGGGTCCTCTTGCCGTCTCATTCTAGATGCACCAGTGCCCTGCTGTGTTAGTGCGTATCCTGTGTTCTTAAAAGGGTTGGCCAGTTCCCTAAATCTGCATCCAAACCCCCCTAAATACAACATGAGAATCCAGACACATTGTTATTGTAGCCATGGTGATAAGAAACTTAATTTCTTCAGGTCCTGTGGCTTTGCATGGAGAAATAACCTGAACACTCCCTGTTCTAGTGAAATTCACACTCAAACGAGGCAGATATGTAACTGGGAAGTTGATTACCTCTGCCCTTGGTAGTTGGGCCCAGTGGTTAGATTCCCCATCTCTTGAGGGTTTCCAAACGAGACGTGTAGCTTTGCTGGGAGAGGTGTTCTCGTCAAACAGGCGCATGGAGGAGCTCAGTGCTGGGGTAATGGATATGTGATGGCCTGTGATGAACAGTAGGTCGGATGAGGTGAACCTTCACGTTCACCAGTTTTTAAAGTCAGGAAGTGCTGAAATGTATTGATACAAAATGAGCCTGTAGTGGGGCAGAGTGGCTGACCACTGACTATGTAGCAGTTCTGCAGAAAAGGACCTGAGGATTCCAGTGGATGAGAAGCTGGATACAAGTCACCAGGGTGCCCCTGTAGCCAAGAAGGCTAATGGCATATTGTGGTGCATTAGGAGGAGCATTGCCAGCAGATCTAGAGAAGTGATTATTCCCCTTTATTTGGCTCTGGGGAGGCCACATCTGGAGTATTGTGTCTAGTTCTGGGGTCCCCACTATAGAAAGGCTGTGGCCACATTGGAGGGCAACCAAAATGATGCGGGGCTGGGGCGCATGACCTATGAGGAGAGGCTGAGGGATTTGGGTTTGTTTAGTCTGCAGAAGCGAAGAGTGAGGGGGGATTTGAGAGCAGCCTTCAACTTCCTGAAGGGGGGTTCCAAAGAGGATGGAGAGAGGCTGTTCTCAGTAGTGACAGAGGCAGAACAAGGAGCAATGGGCTCAAGTTACAGTGGGGGAGGTCTAGGTTGGACATAAGGAAAAACTATTTCCCTGGGAGGGTGGGGAAGCACTGGAATCCCTAGAGGTGTTTAAGTCTTGGCTTGACAGAGCCCTGGCTGGGATGATGGAGTTGGGGTTGGTCCTGCCTAGAGCAGGGGGCTGGACTTGATGGCTCCTGAGGTCTCTTCCAGCTCTAGGATTCTCTGACCCAGAGGTGGCCAAGCCCCTCACAGAACCCTGGTGGGCAGCGCCCAGCCCCAGCACAGCACCTGCCGCTTCTGTCAATGTGGGAGCCACTAAAGGAGTCAGCAGAGCTTCAATCTTAACTTCACCCGCAGAGCAAGGGCAGGGCATGCAGGACAGCAGGGGATTTTTCTGGCCTTGTGAAATCACTTCGTGGCCCCTGGAACCCGGGCTTGGAGAGGGGCTTTCCAGGCCAAAACGATCAGAGTCCCATTAATGGTGGCTCCAAAGTTCCAGCTCCAGGCTCAGTGTTGTGGGAGATCAGATGGAGATTTAAGCTTTACAGCGCCTCTCTGGATGCTTCCAGTAACCCCAGCGCCAGGTTCAGAGTGTGGGAGCACCTCTGGGAGCTAATCTTCACGATCCAGCCCCAAAAGCTTCTGTACTGTCTTTACATTAAAGAGGGAGAACAAGCATGGGGAGATTAGGTGACGTGCCCAAGGTCTTGCAGAAAATCTCTATCAGGATCACAGATCTGTGTTGTCTTGGTCCAATGTCCCAGATGCAGGACCATCTGTGGTGTGGAGGAAGTGAATTGGGAAATATTTACCCCTTCATATAACACAGTCACCCAGGGAAATCCACAGCCTGCGGGTTTAAAGTAAAGGTGAGGGAACCCTGCGGCGCTCAGCGCCAGGAGCTGCTGAGACAACCAGAGCTAGGAGGGAGACCAGGGAAGACCGAGGTAAGTTGATGGAGGAAAGGTCAATCACTGGCTGTTGGCCGAGGTGATCAGCGACGCAGCCCCCGCTCCGGGTGTCCCAGCACGTCTGGTGGCCAGAAACTGGGACTGCTCCATAGCTGCCCAGCTTGGTTCACTCCCTCAGGCGCGGGTGACTGGGCCGTCACTGGGCTGAGCCAGGAGAGCTGCCCCGACGTTCCGCCTCCGTTGGCTTTCAGCTGGTTCTGACACCAGCAGGATTTCAAGGCCTGGGCTCAGGCCCAGGGAGTCTCAGCACAACATCTGGCTCCTTCTATCACTGGGCTTGTCAGGTGAGAGCTCGGAGCTGAGCGCCCCTGAATGCACGTGCAGGGAGAGGCGTCCTACCAGCCCGACCTGTCTGCGGCTACACCGTCCGCTCTGCTCGGATCACAAGGCGACTCCTTTGTCGGCTTCCGCTGGGCTGGGCTGTTGCTCTTCGGGGCGTCCCCGTCCAGCAGCTGCCCCACAACAGGCGTGTGGGCAGCTCCCCTCATGGGGCTATTTGCACGGGAAGCTGCTTTGGGCTTCCCCATCGTATGGTGGGGGAACCCATGGCCCAGTGAGTCGAGCAAGGTCCAGAGGCAGCAGCGCGGGGGCCGGGAACACACTGGCTGCTGGCCCGTCTCCGGGGCCTACCGAGTAGTCGTGTAACCGCCCAGATTTGAAGTGGCTACATTACTAGTCCGTGAGTCGCTGGCTCCCTCCCTCCGCTGAAGAGCCCGGGG